AGCCTCTGAGAACTGGCTGGGGGGCAGAATGAGCGACACAAGCCTGAGAAAAAGGAGAGAGGATGAGAAGTCCACCCAGAGCAAGGAGCCCAAGACCACAAGTCTCCAAAAGGAGGTGAGGCCGGCCGTGGGGACAGGCCCTTCCCGGGCGGGGGGTTATATCAGTGAGGAGCAGCAGGCCCTCCCAGTTAACCTCTCATTTGCAAAGTGGATCTCTGAGTGAACAAGTCTTTGGACTTACCTCCTTCCCTCTGGCCAGTGAACTCAGCATTTTCTTGTAGAGTTAATACACGTGTGCTTCTATGCCCTGGGTTAGGGCCTGGACGGGCTGGTTCTTGTTCGGACCTATGGCCTCTTCGGGGATGACCGGCATCTTCCCCAAATACCTGTCCCTCTCATGTTTGAGTATCTTCAGTGACAGGGAATTCCCATTCCTTCTTGGTGAGTCTAGCTGGGGTGGCGAGTCTGACATGGCTGTGAAACAGATGAGCCCTCTGGGCTGGAATGTAGTAAGGACTGGACCTGGAGGTGCTCAGGCACGAGAAGGGCCCAGAGCCTGTGTGACACGGGGCTGGCACCAGGCCTGCAAAGAAAGGGAGCTTGGCGGGGGCGAGGTAGTGAAGGCGGAACAGGGCTCAGTGCCCCGCCTGCAGCATGCCAGTCCCAGGTGGATGGAAGCAGCATGGGGTGGGCGTGGAGGGACAAGCTTCAGGCTCCTAGGATATAGAGGGAGGGCCCCTGAGCAGTATCAGGATGGCTTCAAGGACAGGACAAGCTCCCCTGGGAGCTCCTGGCCTGGCAGCAGAGGGGACAGAGGGATACAGAGGATAGTATGGCTTGGCTGTAGGCTGGCCTGGGCCAGTGCTGCCCAGTGGAAAGAGCACAGCTGAGCTAACCCCACACATGTCTGAAACTCAGGCAACTTCAAAATGAATGCAGACCTCAGCAGGAGAGGAGGGATTCTGGAGGGTCCCCAGGCTGGTGGGGACAGCTGAGACTGTCCTGGGTGGGGACACTGCTCCTCGAGGCCCCTCTGCCAAGTGTGTGTGTCCCTTGGTGGCAAGTCACAGTTGGGGTCTTACCTGTATTCCGGGATCTAGTCCTGAGCACAGCCTCTGCCCGGGTAGGCGAGCACATACATGCACCATCATCTTGGATTCCAGAAGTCAGGCCTGGTGAGTAGGGGCCTGAGTCAGACATGTTCTTTCTTTTAAAAAAGTATTTTTCTTGATTTGATTCATAGATGATTTATGTGAGACACGCAGATCTTTAGTGTTCAGTTTGATGGTGGGCCCCAGCCTTGAGTTCTGCCCCTGTAGATAACTTTGCCTGTTGAGCTTGGCTGGCGTGGAATCACACCGTGCATCAGCTGGGTCTCCTTGGTAGGAAGCTCATTCCCTACAGAGAGGCACCAAAGCATACAGCCCGTTAATGTCCCTGGAAGCCTGCATTGCCTTACCCACACTGGCTGTGTAACCCTGGGCTGTAACGTAGCCTTCCTGTGCCTCCATCTGCTCCTC